TATAGTATATATATATATATATATATATATATATCCTCTAAAACCTTCTTAGAATTAGTATTAGTATGGAACTGAGGCACAGCTAATGTTAGCACAATGGCTACAATTGGTAGTTTTTCCCTTTGTGTCACTGCTGTTCCAGAATTTCCACAAAGGATTCTGGGAAATGTCTGAAATTTTTTAAACGTGAATCACACACAACACTCGCCGTGTGAACAGATTGAAAGAAAAGTGAGGAACGCAGAAAAACATTAAAAAGAAAACCGAGCATTAGGTTGAGCATAAATCTGGGTTTGAAAAACAGGAACTACGGAGGCCCAAAGGCTCAAACGTTTGTGCACGCAAGATAAAGAAACATCCCTGTTTGGCGGCTCTGTAAAGTCCTGTGTTTTTAGTAAAAATAAAATAAATAAATAAAAACAGAATAAGTCAGATGGGATTTTTAACAGTGCCATTTTAATGTTTGGCCTTGAAAGACAATTCTTTAAACCTCAAACAGCTATCGTACAGATCCAAATCATAGGTTGACTAAAATCTCTCCTGTACATATGTATAGATATATTTATATATATTATATTAAACAATGTCTGCTTAAAATAAAACTTGTCCTTAAAAATAAAAACACAGGAAGAACACAGTGATAATGGAAAGCAAAAAACAAAAACAAAAGAAAAGGAAAGTGTGAATTACACTGTAGGGCTCAGCTGGGTGAATTGAACATGATCAGGGGGAAATGATGGGCATTTAAAATATTTATTATGGCTTACAGTTGACAAGAGGACATCCTGGTATACAGTTCTATTACTTATTGCCACATCCCCGTCACTTTGAAACAAGTGACGGGTTCAGAACCAAACTCACTTTACAAACACTATGTACAAGTTTCTTTTTTTCTTTTTTTGTTCGTTTAGTTTTCAGCAGTTTTACTTGAAGATTTCGTCACTGTACAAGCGTCATACCACATACACCAATCTATAGAGCATTTAAACTTACTAATTCTTATTTACAAATATATTTGTAAAAACCCTGATATAATTTCAACAGTATTTAAACCAAACCTTGCGACTATTTAAAGATAAAACACTTGAATATCTCAAGATACTTAATAGCAAAAATAAAATAAAATAAAAACAACAAAAGAAAGAAAATAAAAACCTGCTCGTTTCTCTTCTTTGATCCGAAAACACTTCTCACTTAAAAAGAAAACACCCTGTAAGTACTTTCAGTTACTCTTCAACGGCCTTACACCACAGGAGAAGGACAGTATTTCACTGAAAGTACACAAAAATACTGTGCCAGGACTGTTTTTTGAGGCAGTTTCCACCAGTCAAATACTTTATATCTCAACTCTTATTTCAGTAAATTCTTTACTGTGTCTTGTCGACTGAATACTGTCCCATTATAGATTGCAGGTTGGAAACACTGGAATAAGGTAACAGTAAAGTAACCTGCTCCATTACCTTCTGTTGGATTTTCTCCCCCCATGTAAATTCTTACCAAACCTTCTTCTTAATCTCGCCGAACGATCAAATACTTCAAATACTGTAATAGAATAAAACTATGGTCCCCAAGTACACAACTTGTAGTACAGTGTAACAAGTACGGATAACAAGTACAAATACTAAAAGTCAAAGGTCGTCAGGTACCTAGTCTTTACATCATGGAGGGAGGTTCACAGCGGAATCGGGAGGAGGAGGAGGAGGAGGAAGATTGTCTACTTAGTTGTTGTTTTCATGCAGGTCTCTGTGGAGGATCCAGATGTCCTCCTGTGATGGGTTGTTTCGTTGATGTTGTTGCGGTAGTAGTTGTAGTTGCTGCTCTGCTGCTGCCTTGTTGGGTGGAGCCTGCTTTGTTCTGCTGCTGTTTTGTGGTTCTGCTGCGGCTGGGAGGCTCTGGTTCGGGATGGCTGCTGCTGCTGCTGCTGCTGCTGCTGTGTGCTGCTGGTGGTGGGCAGCGGTGAGACGCTCGTGTCTGCTGCCCCCTGCTGCTGGGGACGGGGAGCTGCGATTTTGGCGCGAGGGCCTGAAACGCCGGTCGCTGCTCTGGACGGCTGCCTGGTTTGGAGCTGCGGCTGGACTGTACGGACAGCGGTCTGCGGGACGACAAGGACAGTTTGGTGAGTTGAAGCCAGTTTTTTTTTTTTATGCACCGTAAGGACGGGGAAGTGAGATCAGCAGCTCTAGATCTGTAGTTGTAGACACACGTGTTCCAGATTTTAAATGTCTGTCTTCCTTCTCAGGTTGACTGACATCAATGAAGTAGCTCAGAAGATGCGTCGTCTGACCCACCCACTTTACGCAGTGATTGGCGGGTGTGTGACAGGTTAGAAAACTTCTCCAAGCTTTTTTTTTTTTTTTTTTAATCGTTTACTGAACTTTTTCTATCATTTCTTTTGTTTTATTTTGAATCTGTTTGCTTTTTTAAATGCTGATCAAGTTCAAGAGACAATTCTAGTTCTCAGGGTCCATCAGAGATATTTGATATTAGACGTACCGTTCTCCTAAAATCACATTTGCACTACTGACTATTTTTTTATATATATATTCATTGTAAGAAACAATTTAAGGTTTCCCTTTTTCTAACTTGTACATTTGATATATTTTTGATGTACTGCTGATCATTTATACTCCTGCTCTCTGGATGTTTTTTATCACCCTGGGCTGGTTGGATGATTAACCCCCACCCTCTCAAATCAGACGTCAGAGGGAGGCGGAGGAGGCGGAGGAGGTTTTCAGACGCTTGTTTGACAAGAAAACTTCCAAAGAAAACTAAACTTTGCTTTCCACTCATTCAGTTCATCCTGGAGGGTCACTACACACAATACAAAGTGCAGGTTTGAATAAGAAAGGAAAAACATAAATAAAATAATTCTCCTGCAGGTGAAACATTGTTCTAACAGTCGAGTCCGTTCTTTTCTTTCTTCCAAGGTAAAGTCATATTGAGAATTACATCTAAATGTTCAATATCTGATGGTATTTTTAAAAGGCTGAATCATTCCCTCAATTTGTTCTAACACCAAAAACAATGAGCTGAAAGAGGCTTAAAGCTCCTGCACATCAAGCACAAACCTTACAGCTGCAACCAAACCTGCAGTAATGCACAGTTAGAGAACAGGGCTTCCTCAAACTGCCAATACTGCACAGGTCAATTATGTGTGAGGTAACAGCAAACACTCAGGAGACACATGATTAAACGTTGCACCAAAACAATCACACACACACTTTAAAGATCTGAGTCACCGGTCTGTGGTCGAGTGAGGTCACTACGGTGGAGTGATGATGACAAACAGGAATTAGTAGAAAGTGTTTTTCTTTTATTTTCTCTCTGTGTGGACGTTTGTTTTCTTAGCTTTTAGAGATGCAGTTTCAAGAATTAATACTCAAAAAAATGTATAAAATGAATTTAAAATACTCTGAACTGTTTGAATGGCCTCGTCGAGTATTTATTCTTCTCCCGCCTCTTGTGGCCACAGTAGGTTACTGTCTCTGCAGGCTATCTTGACGTCCAGCAC